TTGTTGTTGTTGTTGTTGTTGTTGCTGTTGTTGTGGTTGTTGTTTTTTGGGGGGGTGGAGGGGTTGTTGTGCGCGTTGTTTTTGTTGTTTAGAATGCAAAGTTATCTGAGCTGCAAATCTAATTTCCCCTATAAAGGTCAATAAAATTAAGTTAATGTTTGTAAAGGAATCAAACAATCACACAGATGTTCACATATTCAGGAGACCACCCTTCACTTATTTCATTTCCACACAAAACAGCCATTAAGTACAAATTCTTCATCGATCAAAAGATGTTTCTGAGGAGATTCGGAACTGAAGTTTCCAATTATTAACAAGGTAATAATTGACTGGGACTCCTAACAACTCTACAAGACATGGTAGACCCCCAAAACTGTTAACATTTTAACATTTGATCTTCTAAGACTGAACTTTGCAGGTGCATCGCAAAATTACAAAATAACTGAAAGCACATCTCCTGAAAGAATGGAAGCTTTAATAAAAGTAAAGAGGGAAAAAAATAATATTATATTAATTTGTTCAGTGGTTTGTACAATCTGTTAAATATTCGTTTTGTTTTGTTTTTTTGTTTTAACTGAAAAATGTTAACTGAAAAATATTTTTCCTTAATGGCCACTTTGACTTAAAATGCAGTAAATAAAGAGTACACAGTGCTGTATCTCAGAGAGGATGTTTTTGTACAGGGTTTCTGTTGATGTGTCTCACTGTGGTTCACGAGCGCAGTAATACACAGCTGTGTCTCCAGTCTGCAGATTCTGTCCTCTTAAGGTCACTGTGCTGCTGGACGTGTCTACAGTAACTTCAAACCTGCTTTTCAATTTATCATTGTAGTAAGTGGTACCACTTCCTGCTATTTGTCCAATCCACTCCAGAGCTTTTCCAGCAGGCTGTCGTATCCAGTGTGTCCAGTAGCTGTTCAGCGAATATCCAGAAACTTTACAGGTCAGTGACATTGACTGACCAGGATTTATGACCATGGATCCAGGCTGGGTCAACTCAACACTGTGAACACCTGTTGAACACACTACATGTGTTATTTCTTATATTTTGGAAAATGAAGTCCATACACATAAATCAAGTGTTCCCATTTCTGATCCTGGAGGACTTTTGGATGGAGGTTGGAGGGGACTCCATGACCAGGGATGGGAATCTGTGAAATATAGAATTATAATGTAAACTAACAAACACTTACAGCTCACAGCAGCCAGCAGCAGCAGTAGAGATGTAGAGAACATGGTGAACGAGTGGAAGCTGCTGGTCTTCACCTCCAGTAACTTAAATATGTAGGACATGTCAGAACATTTGCATAGAGGAGCTTCTATAATGTCACTGTTTTTCTACTGAGGAAACATTGCCAGTTCACCACATTTGTTCATTTCACAAGATTTAAAGGAGAAGTTCACAGACTTTTTTTCACATTTGCTGAATAATTCAATTATTAAGACATAAACAAAATCACTAAGCATGATATGATGTGAAATACACCAGAATTGCTCACAGTGGTGGTTGTAGGAACCAGACATCTGAAGAATTTAATATCTCTAAAGGCTCCCTTACAGAAACTTATTACATAAAATAGTTATGAATACACTGTCTGATGCCTGAGACTTCGTTTTACTACAGTATTAAAATCCACTAATAAAGCAAACTTACAGTTTAGACCTTAAAGGTTAGCGTTTGCTGAGCTGCTAAGCAATGAAGTAAACTTAAGTGAACAAATATAAACAAATATAATAAATATTAAACAACAGACAGTAAGTTAGACACACTCAGATAATGATCAGATAATGATGATTATATTCTGTATATCATCAACAAAAAACTCTCATCATGTTCAACAACCTACCAATAGGCTCAAAATGTTCCTGTTTGAGCAGCTTTCAGCTCAGTTTAAACCCTGTTAGTGTTAGTCCTAATCCAAATTTAATTTTTTATTTTTGATTATTTAACTATTATTTAACTCATTTAATTTCTAAATTGATTTTTTATTTAATGATTTTCTCTTTTAAATGTATTGTTTTAATCATGTTTGAATTATGTTTTTAATGTTATTTTTAATTATCTTTTTCTATTTGTGCTTACTTTATGTTTTTAACCAACTGACTTAGAATTTTCTCAGTTGTAGAGCACTTTGAATGACAGTAGTGTTTGAAAGGTGCTATATAAATAAACCTGCCTTGCCTTGCCTTGCAATACAAATCCCCTGGCTATGTTTCACATTTTTCTGAGATTAGTTTATCTCCTGTATACAAATGTAAGCATTTGCCAGAACTCTTACAGTCCTAAAAGTTCTGTAGGTTATATTTACATTAATGGAATTTACATCTATAGCAGCCTCAGCCTCACCTCAGACAAGGTCAACAGCATGTTCTACACTGATGTTTTTGACCAAATAAAATGTGTAACAGTCCCAGGATGCAGCTGGAGTAGATGATGAGTGCTGGTCAGTGAATGCAGAGTTTTTGAGGAAACATCTCCCTCTACTGTTTCGTATATGAATATGGAGAGAACATTCTAATAAATAAATCAATAAACAGAGCACACTGACAAAATGTTCTCCAAAAAAAAAAGAAAAAACAACTGACTTCTGGAGGCTGGAGGTGCAAGATATCTATCTAGAACAGCTCAATCACTTTGCATTGAAGTCTCTGTAGTTACTGAAAAAGAAGCCTTAGTATGTAATAAGCCTTGGATTTGAAGCGGTTAAAGAAATGGGCACTGGACCATCTATGAAGGGTAAAAGCAGTTTAGTTCAGAACTTCTGCATTAATGGAGTAAATGTGAATGAATAAATGAGTAATGATCTGTTTCTACATTTCTCAATGAGGAAACTCTTACAGTGGAGATTTATACACAGCAGGTTTTTGTACAGGGTTTCTGTTGATGTGTTTCACTGTGTGGTTCCCGAGTGCAGTAATACACAGCTGTGTCTCCAGTCTGCAGATTCTGCCCTCTTAAGGTCACTGTGCTGCTGGACGTGTCTCTGGAAACTTGAAACCTGCTTTTCAGTTTATCACTGTGGCCAGTGCTACCATCTCCACATATCTCTCCAATCCACCCCAGGGCTTTTCCTGCCGGCTGTCGTATCCAGTGTGTACAGTAGCCGCTATCAGTCACTGAATACCCAGAAACTTTACAAGTCAGTGACATCGACTGACCAGGATTTATGGCTATGGATCCAGGCTGGGTCAGCTCAACACTGTGAACACCTGTTGAATATACTGCATGCATTATTTCTTATCTTTTTTGAAGGACAAATTTCATAAAGGATTCTAATCTAATAACTACTTACAGCTCACAGCAGTCAGCAGCAGCAGCGGCAGTAGAGATGTGGAGAACATGGTGAATGAGTGAAAGCTGTTGGTCTTCACCTCCACTAGCTTAAATATGTAGAATACCAGAACATTTGAATAGAGGGGCTCCTATCAAATCACATTTCTTAAGGAAACATGTTGTCTAAGGGTTGATGAAACCTCTGAAGATCTTTTTCATGAAAAGTTAATGTAACCAGATTTTTTTTGCAAACATTTTGGACCATTTCTGTTTCTCAATTCATTGTAAAATTTTGACATTATGTAATGAGTAACTGAAGTGAACTAATAGTAAAAGTATCTTTGCTCAATAATGGTAATAATCTGTAAAATTACAGTCATTCCATTTCTTAGAAATACTGCCCTTTACTGTAATTCAACTATATGACTAGTTCACTAGTTATTCTGATATACAGTATTTTACCATAATAATAACAGTAACAATCATTAAAATAAATGTAAATGTCTGTGAAATTAAGGTGACCAGATGCTTTGTGAGCTTACATTCCATCTCTGTACATTAACAACAGCAGTGTTAAGCTACAGTAAATGTGTGGGTTTTTTACAGGTACTTGGTTTTTTTCAGTGGGTTTGCCAAAAGGCCTTTAAGCTGTTAAATACAAAAACTGAACAAAGCACCAACAAAACAGAGTCACAGTTGAGGATTAGAATTTAATAAACTTCTGAACAATAAGGTCACATTCGCTCAATAAACTGACAGTTTGCAACCTGTTTAAAAAGCTTCTCATTATATTTAAGCATCAATACAGGCAGAAAGCTCATGGCTTTGTTGTTCATTTCATGTTCAGTACCCTTTTTTGTGATAGTGTAGTCAACTTTTTGTCAAGTCCAAGACCAAGACTAGTCAAGATCAAGTCAGGACTGAGTCAATATAACATTAGGATTCATTTCAGCAGATTAAAATTCGCATTTAATTAATTCACGTTCTAGAAATCTAAACCTAAACCACCTATTAAAAAGTTCTCTGCTACCTTCAGTTTCAAACTGAAAATGGGGACAAAGGTCAAGAGTTTGTGCTCTTGGGGAAAATTAGTTTTTAGATATAACAGAACCTCCATGCTGCTGAGACTGGAGAACCGAGAAAAACTGTATTGTGTCTGTTCTGTTCACAGTCATGTAATGTTAGTGTTTTGGTAAATAATGTTGTAACTACTCTCATAAAAAAGATGTTAGTAAAAAAATGGTTCTATTTAGAACCCTGAGCTCTATATAGAACCATTTCATGTTTGAATGGCTCTTTGCGTGGTGAAATTGTTCTTCAGGTTGATGGTCAATGTGTTGTATTTATGTATATAGCACCAAAATGGGTTCTGCTACTGGTATGATATCAAGCTTGTACCAACAGAAGAATGCTTTCTGGTGCCATTTTTAAAAAAGGTTCTATGTAGAACCACATACAACACATTCTACATCAATCTGAAGAACCGTTCTGTTAACCAAAAACCCTTGAAAAATCATCTTTTGTGACACTGTATTTAAAACAAAATGAAATCTTGCTACTTAAAAAGATTTATAGGCAGAAATGGGAAAATCCATAAAGAGTTAAGAAGCAGTTGAGTTCAGAATTTCTGTATTAATGGAATAAATGTGAATAAATAAATGGGTAAAAGTCAGTGGACAGATTTATACACAGCAGGAGTTTTTGTACAGGGTTTCTGTTGATGTGCCTCACTGTGGTTCACGAGCGCAGTAATACACAGCTGTGTCTCCAGTCTGCAGATTCTGCCCTCTTAAGGTCACTGTGTTGCTGGACGTGTCTCTGGACAAACTGAACTTGTTTTTAAGTGAATCTTTGAAGTATAAGCCTCCTTTGTAGCCCATAGTTGCAACCCACTCCGGAGCTTTTCCTGCAGGCTGCCGAATCCAAGCTGTGGCATCGCTGGTGATTGAGTAAGAAACTTTACAATTGATGGTCAGAGTTTGATCTGGATGAACCGTCAGGAAATCAGGCTGGGTGAGCTCATAGGAATGGACCCCTGTGAAAGTGTCAGTAAGTCATAGACATTATTGGTACTCAATGCACTTATAGTTTATTATATGTGATCTTTCAGTCCAATTCAGAATCAAATCTTGATCATGTATCAGGTTGACCTAACAAACTCACAGGTCACAGCAGCCAGCAGCAGCAGCAGTACAGATGTGGAGAACATGGTGAACAAGTGAAAGCTGTCAGTCTTCACCTCTAGTAGTTTAAATATACAGATGATGGCAGAATATTTGCATAGAGGAGCTCCTGTTATATCAACTGTTTTGTATGAGAAATGTGGGGAATCACTGAGGCTTAAAAAAGACTATGGATTTTGAATAATGTCAGTTGTTTTATGTTTTAACTCAAATGGCTGCACCAATGTTTATTAAGTTATCAGTAATGTCAGAGTCGTGTGAGGCTGAGATTAGTACATGTTTAGCTTTAGTGAAAATTCTCAGCCGAAAGCGAAGCCAAAATTCAGGACACACTGGACCGAAAACCAAAACAGAACACTAACAATTTAGGTAACAATATCAATAAAAGCATTTACATAAAATAAACATACTAAAACATTTACAGAATATAGGCTACAGTATAAGATGTTAAAAACAACATTATTAACAACAGAGTTAGTCATTCAGTTAGGCATTCATTGAATGCTATAATTTTTTAGTTATGCTTTGCACTTTGGTGCTGTTTGCATAGGCGCCTGAGCAACTAAGCAAGAAGAGCACAAGCTCCCTCACTTTTATTTGAGATATACATGTTTATACTTGATGCACTGTAACTGACAAAAGGTTGCATTTTCCAATAATGGCTCTGGGCCTGCGTGATGTCGCACCATGTGGTCATGCATGTCCCAGGTTTTGTAGTTTGCCACTCATTGCAGGCATGGCAAAAAATGAATTTGAAGGGAGAACTGCTGAGCAGGTTCGCCTCTACAATCTCAGAAATAAAGGTATGAAACTGTCATTGGGGCAGTACCCCTCTTTTCACTGGAGTGGTACCTCTCAGTACCTTTAGTCAGGGGACATAACTGTACCATAATCCATTGAAATGATTGTACTGACTCCACACACCCCGTCTCGTCTCCAGGCTTTTATTTTACTGTTCTGATTTAAAACATTAGGATATGAAAAAGTAATAAATACGTACTTTTCACCTGGAAAAACTTATTTAAGGTACACAATTAGACCTGAAAACCACTGCTGTACCTTTGAGGGTACGCTTACATTGTTTGTACCTTGATAAATGAAAAATGGACCTGCACAGAACGTAACACTTCAGGTTTGTGCTTCACATTTTGTGGTGATATTTAAGCAGGAAGAAGACACACAACAACACAGAAGAGTTGAATGCTTTGGAATACCATTCCCACCAGCTAGAGGAGAAGAATGTTTTTCCCCTCTGTTTCTGGCAGCAGTACATAGAAACTTTGATTTCCTTTTTTTTTTATCTCAAACTAATTTCTCAAGATTTTTATTTGTCAAAATAACATCTTATTTACTCAAACTGTTGACCGATTATGTTGAATTGATCTTATTTTGAATTGATCATTGATTGTTGAATTGATCATGATTTCCTTTCTGCTTCTGTTGTTTTGCTGTATTCTGTATATCCAGTGGGATGTTGTGATAATGTTAAAAAATAATAATGTAGCGCGTTGCCAATCCAAAATAAGATATGCGACAGCTGGTGGGTATGGTGTAGTGGATACCACCTCTGCCATCCATACTGTGGAATAGGGTTCGATCCTCTGCCAGAGCAAGCACCTTACATTATACTAATGAGAGTCCTTGGGCAAGACTCCCAACACTACTTTCACCTACCCGTGAAAAGCTACAATTGTAAGTCGCTCTGGATAAGAGCGTCTGCCAAACACCATATAATGGAAAATAACAGCAAACAAAACATGTATGAGCACATACATAGAGTTCCCAAGCTAGCAGACAGAGAAAGAGCCTAGTCAAACTCCGCTATCATGGTGCAAAGTTCCTAGTGAAACTCAACTGTCGTGGTACAAAGGCTTCAGCTTGTAGTATATTCAAACTCCTCTTCAGAATACTCAACTTGAGGTCTAGTCAATCTGCTTTATCATATTGCAAAGTTCTTGGAGAACTCTGTTCTCTCTCAACAGTGTCAACAGATAAGCAGCTAATGTTCATTTTGTTCTTTGCACATATTAATGCTGGGCAAACTCTGTACAGCAGAGATCTGTTCCAGGGGGGATGTTTTTGTACAGGGTGTCTGTTGATGTGTCTCACTGTGGTTACGAGCGCAGTAATACACAGCCGTGTCTCCAGTCTGCAGATTCTGTCCTCTTAAGGTCACTGTGCTGCTGGACGAGTCTCTGGAAACTTGAAACCTGCTTTTCAGTTTATCACTGTAGTAAGTGTTACCATCTCCACATATCTCTCCAATCCACTCGAAAGTTTTTCCTGCAGGCTGCCGTATCCAGTCTGTACAGTAGCCGCTATCAGTCAGTGAATATCCAGAAACTTTACAGGTCAGTGACATCGACTGACCAGGATTTATGACCATGGATCCAGGCTGGATCAGCTCAACACTGTGAACACCTGTTGAAGACACTGCATGTGTTATTTTTTATATTTTTTAAATAATAAAGTTCATACAGATAAAGGATTCTAACAAGTACTCACAGCTCACAGCAGCCAGCAGCAGCAGCAGCAGTAGAGATATGGAGAACATGGTGAACGAGTGGAAGCTGTTGGTCTTCACCTGCAGTGACCTAAATAAGGCAGAATATTTGCATAGACGAGTTCCTATTATATCACATTTAGGGCTGATGTGATTATGAAAACTCTGAAGCTTTGCTTTAAGGTTTATATTCAGGATACTGAATGGTCTTATCTTTAGTAGTTTCAGTACAGATGCCTACAGTGGCCTCAGCTTCACCACAGAGCAGGTCAGAGCATATTTTACTATGTTTCACTCCAATAAGACATGTAACAGCCACAGGATGCAGCTGTACTAGATGATCTAAATGTAGAGTTTTTGAGGAAACGTCTCCCTCTACTGTTGTCATGTATTACTTTTTAAAACCCAGAACATTCAAACACCAACACTCTAATATTAGCAGTAGGGCATCACACTCTCCCTGAATACGGCCTCATAAGCCAATTGAACCAGCATAAAATGGAGAAGAACATTCTTGAAAAAAGACCAGAGCACACAGATCCCAGTGTTCTCCAACAAACATCAACAAAGCCAAATATAAGGTTGGTGCTCTGTATTTGTGTGTGATTGATTAGAATGTCTAGAAAGATCTCTCCAATTTTTGTACTGTTCTAGAATGCTCCAGTTCCACACAGATGTTCTAGAATGTTCTCCCACTTTCATTGTGTTTGAGAATGTATGTATTAATGTACTTAGTATGTATTTAATTAAGTGTATTATTTTATTTAAACAATAAAGCAAAATTAATGTAAGTAAATCCTATGTGTCAAGCTTGTTGTCCCAATCAAATCTGCAGAGATTTACTTCACTAAAGAATTAGAAAAGACCAAGAAATTTGGACTGGAATCAGTTTAAGACTTGTCAAGGCTTGGCCTCTGAAAGGACTCAATGTTTTGGGTCTCAATCATGATTTGGTCTCCAACTCATTGGTCAGGGCCCCCTTTAGGCTAAATATTGACTCAACTGGGAACAGTCTTGGACTTCTTTTGGACTCTTTATGTGTTTGTTTTCACTGAAAAATTCATATTTTCTACTTAAAGTCCACTTTGACTTGAAAGGCAATCAATAAAGACTGCAATGCTGTATCATAGAGAGGATGTTTTTGTACAGAGTTTCTGTTGATGTGTTTCACTGTGGATCACGAGCGCAGTAATACACAGCCGTGTCTCCAGTCTGCAGATTCTGCCCTCTTAAGGTCACTGTGCTGCTGGACGTGTCTACAGCAAGTTGAAATCTGCTTTTCAGTTTATCATTGTAGTTAGTGCTACCACCTCCTTCTATCCTTCCAATCCACTCCAGAGCTTTTCCTGCAGGCTGCCGTATCCAGTGTGTCCAGTAGCTGGTCAGTGAATATCCAGAAACTTTACAGGTCAGTGACATCGACTGACCAGGATTTATGACCATGGATCCAGGCTGGGTCAACTCAACACTGTGAACACCTGTTGAACACACTGCATGTGTTATCTCATATATTTTGGAAGATACAGTTCATACACATAAATTTAAGTGTTCCCATTCTGGTCCTGGAGAACTCTTGGATGGAAGGTGGGGGTATTCCATGACCAGGGATGGGAATCTGTGAAATATAGAATTCTAATCTAATCCAACAAACACTTACAGCTCACAGCAGCCAGCAGCAGCAGCAGGGATGTGGAGAACATGGTGAATGAGTGGAAGCTGTTGGTCTTCACCTCCAGTAGCTTAAATATATAGGACATATCAGAACATTTGCATAGACGAGCTTCTATTACATCACTGTTTTTCTCTTGAGGAGATATATTGCCAAATTACTTCATTTGTTCAATTCAGAAGATTTAAAAGAGACGTTTTTTGAGATTAGTTTATCTCCTGTATACAATTGTGAGCATTTGTCAGAACGCTTATAGTCCTAAAAGTGTTATGGGTTTGGTTTACATTTATGGCATTTATATGTGCAGTGGCCTCAGCTTCACCTCGGACAAGGTCAATAGCATGTTCTACACTGATGTTTTTGACCAAATTAAATGTTTAACAGTCACAGGATGCAGCTGGAGTAGATGAAGAGTGTTGGTCAGTGAATGCAGATATTTAAGAAAATATCTCCCTCTACTGTTTTATATATGAATAGGCAGTGAATGTTCTAATAAACGAATAAATAAAAAGAGCACAGCGACAAAATGTTCTCTAACAAAAAAGCAACTGAATGCTGGAGTCTAGAGGTGCAGGATATCTATCTTCAAACTAAAGTGGTCAGGGTAAGACCAAGAAGACCTTTCAAAATGCATAAATGAATAGCAAAATCAATTTGTAAATATACTGTAAGGAGAATATGAGCATCTTTGCAGTGGACTATTTAACATCAAACCACTCTAAATGACTTTCTTCATCTGTCAATTGATTAAAGAAAATCTGTGGAACCCTTGATTTCAGACAAAACATTGGATGAATATGTGTCTACAAACAACCAAACATCCAAAAAGACCTCTATTCCAAAGAGCATACTTTGTACAGAGTTTCTGTTGGCATCTCTCACTGTCCCAAAATAATAAATTTACAGAAGAAAGGCAAAAACTTTCTTAACTATTAATGTAAATAAATGCAACAATATTTCATGCAAAGAAGTTCTAACAGATGTCATGATATGTTTATGACACTTTCTTGTAGCTGCCATTAAGGAGTTGTTATTAAATCTGTCCTAATATATATATATATATATATATATATATATATATATATATATATATATATGCTAACTAGAGGGCATTCATGTGACATAAGCTGTGATGACATCAAACATTATGACATCCATCTTGACAATTACTGGAAATGGTAACATGACACTGTCATCAGTTCGCACTGATAATGTATATGTTAAAGCATTAAATAATTACAGACATTCACATATTCAAGAGACCACCTTTCATGTTTTCTGACACTGAAAATTTTGTACTGAACAGCCATTTTGACTGGAGATGAAATAAATAAGCTCATTCATTTTGAACAGTACTGTAATTCAGAGAGGATGTTTTTGTGCAGGGTCTCTGGTGAAGCGTGTCACTGTGGTCTTCACGAGCGCAGTAATACACAGCTGTGTCTCCAGTCTGCATATTCTCCCCAATTAAGGTCACTGTGCTGCTGGACGTGTCTACAGTAACTTCAAACATGCTTTCCAGTTTTTCATTGTAGTAAGTGCCATCATTTCCATGTATCTCTCCAATCCACTCAAGAGCTTTTCCAGCAGGCTGCCGTGTCCAGTGTGTCCAGTGGCTGGTCAGTGAGTATCCAGAAACTTTACAGGTCAGTGACATCGACTGACCACGACTTATGACCATGGATCCAGGCTGGGTCAGCTCAACACAGTAAACACCTGTTGAACAGAGTACATGTGTTATTTCATATATTTGTGAAAGATAAAGGCCATAAATAAAGGGTGCTTCATTACCAGGCATGGGAATCTGTGGAATTTAGAATTCTAATCTAACAAACACTTACAGCTCACAGCAGCCAGCAGCAGCAGCAGCGGTAGAGATGTGGAGAACATGGTGAACGAGTGGAAGCTGTTGATCTTCATTTCCAGTAACTTAAATGTATAGGACGTGGCAGAACATTTGCATAGAGGAGCTTCTATTACATCACTGTTTTTCGCTTGAAGAAACACATTGTAAATTTACTTCAGTTGTTCAATTCAAATGCAGGACGTCATAAGAAAAAACAGTGCCTGTATAAAAACTGCTTTTTGTGATTTCCCACTACTTTACCATCAACATTACAAATAAAGCTAAGAAGGCTCACCCATATCTGTGCTGTAGGCATCGTGACCCCCAGATTCCCATCACCATCACTGTAAAGAGAATCTGAGTCAGTAAGTGTCTTTACAGTGGACTATTTAACATCAAAACACCCTACATGACATTGTTTACATCTCAGCAATTAAACTGTGTTGAAATTCAGAAAATTCCCTGTTAAAATCCCGGATTTCAGGTGAAACATTAGATAAATCGGTGTCTACAAACAGTTGGAGAGATAGATATAAATGGCCAAAAAAGACCTCTATTCCAGAGATGGTGGTTTGTAGAGATATTCAGTACTTTACAAAAAAAATGCAGGAGAAAGGCAAAAACTATCTTAACTTTTGATGCTTATATATATATATATATATATATATATATATATATATATATATATATATATATATATGCTTCTATTTTCCATTCTTTTCTAATTGAATACAAACTTTTTGACACATTGTTTTTTAAAACATAAGCAGGATCTCTAAAAATTTGAACATGAATTTCAGAATTCCTCAGTGTTTGGTCCAGTATTTCCCTCTTTTGCTTTAATGACAGCGTGCACTCGAGCTGGACCCCACAAGTTTAAACTCTGACATTTGAAGCCTGTAATGAGCTTTACTGTGTATGTTTTAGTGTTTCAGTAAATCCTTCAGTAAATACTTCAACTTGAAGCCTCACTCTTAACACTGGAGGAGGCTTTAGTACAGTACGCTTCACTTTACTTAGAGCATACAAATACAACTTATGAGCTTTTATAATCTGTTATGATCAGTACTTATAATGCATTATGTTAACAATTCATAATGCATAATAAACATGGCTATAATGTATAATGCATTTTATAAATATTTATAGCTATGTTTATAATGTCTTATGAATGCATTATAACATGTTATGAATGTGTTTATAGATGCTTACAAAGGTGACATTCATAGAAAGTGTTACCACTTTACTTCACTTTTGACACCAACAGTATAACATGTTATTAACACTACTTATAATGCATTATAGTAACAATTCTTAATGTATAATAAACATGACTCCAAAGTGTAATTCAGTGTAATTCATTTTTATAAATATGTATAACCATGTTTATAATGCCTTATGAATGCATTATAACATGTTATAAATGTGTTTATAGATGCTTACAAACATGACATTCATAGAAAGCGTTACCATTTTTTCTTTTGGTAAACATTGAAAATGAATCCCACAGATGCCAACACCACACAGATTATCAGATTATCAAAATATATTGAGAAAATTGGACTCTTATCTTTGACAGATGAAATATGCAAAAAAAAAAGACAGAGAAATACAAGAAAATGAAATACCTGAGACTGAACTTTGGAGGTGTGGAAAAAAGCCTTTTTGAAAAGAATGGAATTGTAATACTGTATTATTTACTGAAAACTGTAATAAAGGCAACAAGTGGACACATTAAATGGTGAACAATTTAAAGTTATATTAAGCTGTTAAGATTTTTTGCGCTATTAAATATTTGTTTTCTATTTTTCTGACACTATAAAAATTAATATTTTGTACTCAATGCCTGTTATCATTAGAAAATATAAATGAATGATGGTCTTTGACTTTTGCACTGTACTGTATCTCAGAGAGGATGTTTTTGTACAGGGTTTCTGTTAATGTGTCTCACTGTGGTTCACGAGCGCAGTAATACACAGCTGTGTCTCCACTCTGCAGATTCTGCCCTCTTAAGGTTACTGTGCTGCTGGACGTGTCTACAGCAAGTTGAAATCTGCTTTTCAGTTTATCATTGTAGTTAGTGCTACCATCACTTCCATGTATCTCTCCAATCCACTCCAGAGCTTTTCCTGCAGGCTGTCGTATCCAGTGTGTCCAGTAGCTGGTCAGTGAGTATCCAGAAACTTTACAAGTCAGTGACATCGACTGACCAGGATTTATGACCATGGATCCAGGCTGGGTCAGCTCAACACTGTGAACACCTGTTGAAGACACTGCATGTGTTATTTCTTATGGTTTTTAATGTATAAATCTAATTCAGTTAAAGATTGTAAGCTTCAAAGTTGCTTCACAGCAGCCAACAGCAGCAGTAGAGATGTAGAGAACACGGTGAACGGGTGGAAGCTGTTGTTCTTCACTCCCAGTAACTTAAATATATAGGACATGTCAGAACATTTGCATAGAGGAACTTCTAATATATCACTGTTGCTCTCTTGAAGAAGCATGTGGCCAATTTACTTCAGTTGTTCAATTCACGTTTAGATTTAAAGGGGAATTACATCTATAAACACATTTGTAACATGGTATAATGCCTTCATACGGCATTATAAACATGATTATAAACATTTATAAAAAATAATTACAGTGGATTACACTTTATAGCCATGTTTATTATGCATTATGAACTGTTAATATAATGCATTATAAGTAGTGTTGATAACATGTTATACTGTCAGTGCCAAAGAAGTCAGTCCCAGCTTGGAGACTGCAAAGTAAAAGACAAATACCAAGCTAACGGTGGTGTACATTACCTTTCCCACATTGGGTAAAACACTGATGGCAGCACTAGTTTAAACTCTGACATTTGAAGCCTGTAATGTGCTTTATTATGTATGTTTTAGTGTTTCAGTAAATCCTTCAGTCAATACTTCAACTTGAAGCCTCACTCTTAACACTGGAGGAGGCTTTAGTACAGTACGCTTCACTTTACTTAGAGCGGACAAATACCACTTATGAGCACTTATAATTTGTTATGATCAGTACTTACAATGTATTATGTTAACAATTCATAATGCATAATAAACATGGCTATAACGTGTAATGCATTTTTATAAATATTTATAGCCATGTTTATAATGTCTCATGAATGCATTATAACATGTTATGAATGTGTTTATAGATGCTTACAAAGGTGACATTCATAGAAAGTGTTACCATAGAACCAATATTAAACATCAAACACAATGAGAAAAGATAATAAAACCCTCATTATATTCAACATCTGTACAAAACAAAACAAAAAGGGGGTCTTAAGCATTTATTAAAACTCATAGTTCTGCAGGTTGAATTTACATTTATACCATTAATATTTACACTGTCCTCACCACATAGAAGGTCAACAGCATGTTCTACACTGATGTTTTTGATTAAGTGTTAAATTAAATGTGGAACTGTCACAGGATGCAGCTGGAGTAGAGGAAGAGTGAAGGTCAAATGGCTCAGTTTTTGAGGAAACATCTCCATCTGCTGTTCATTTGAAGCCCACAACACGCTGACCCACTATTCCTATTCTAACACTAACAGTCTAATATTGACAGAGGCCTTCATATTGTCTTTGAATCGAAGTAAACTAGCATGAATGGGCAGCGAACATTCTAGAAAAAAGATCCAGTGTTCTCTAACAAAAGAACAGCGGACTGCTGGAGTCTGGAGACGCAAGATATCATAAAACTAAACTGTCTTTAAAGTGGTCAGGAGCAAGACTAAGAGGACCTTTACCATTTTTGGTTTAATAAACAGGGCAGCACGGTGGCGCAGTGGGTAGTGTTGTCGCCTCTCAGCAAGAAGGGCCTGGGTTTGATTCCTGGCCAGGGCGACCAGGGTCCTTTCTGTGTGGAGTTTGCATGTTCTCCCTGGTTTCCTCCGGGTACTTCGGTTTCCTCCCACGGTCCAAAGACATGCAGTCCGGCCAATTAGACATGCTAAATTGCTCCTAGGTGTGATTGTATATGTATGTCTGCCCTGCGATGGACTGGCGACCTGTCCAGGGTGTATCCTGCCTTCTGCCCCATGACAGCTGGGATAGGCTCCAGCACCCCGCTGCGACCCAGAAGGATAAGCGGTTTAGATAATGTATATATGTATGGTTTGATAAACATTACAAATAAATAAATAATGAATGAATGTCCTCTAACAAAACAAGAGCTGACTGCTGGAGTCTGGAGATGCAAGATATCTATTCTTAAACTAAAGTGGTCAGGGGTCAGCACTGTGAAATCAATTAGTAATGATATTAAGTATAAGTAATGTTCTAGCACCTCCTGCAGGACTGTGTTTAAAGTCTGGACATGCAATGTATTATGACGTCATGAATATTATGACCGACTATGAGAAACCAGATCATCAGATTCAGATTCACTGTGTAATTGATATGAAGTATATAAAGATGTAGTTTGGCATCAGCCTGTTTTGCTTCTTATTGAAGGGGATCATGAAAATGTCTATATAAGTATGCTGTGAATGTCTAAACAAACTCATTCTGTGTGGTTTGGAGTAAAATACGCCATTAAGTCAGAATTGCTCAGAGTGGCTCTAAAAGGAACCAGACATCTGAAGTGTTTTAAGGTGACCTCACAGGAAGATAGTATGGGAAATGGTTACAAACACCTGAGATGTCATTTTTTGCAATAGTTCTGAGATATGATTTTGATCTAATACATATTTTTGACATACATTCATGGTGGAGAGGTGAATTTATTGTGTCAAGCAAAGTACTACCAACATTTATTTTTTTCAGATTTACCACTCTTTTACCACAAACAGTACATACAAAACTCACATTGGTGGATTTGGATAGAAAATAAAATGACTGTATTTGTGCTGCAGCCATTGCGACTCCTGGTTCCTATCACCACCACTGTAAAGAAATCAGAGTCGGAAAGTGTCTTTACAATAAACCATTTCACATCAAAACCCTTTAAGCGACTGTTCACACCTCGGTGGATATTTTGCAAACTTGGTGGAAATCCAGTCTAAAACCTTTAGTTTCAGAAGAAATATTAGATGAAAGTTTTGGTTTTGGTTTTTTTTTGTGCCTCGAGGTTCTTAACTTTTACTGTAAATAAATGGAAATAGATTATAACATTTTGTCATGATTTCCCATTCAAAAAATAACATAAAAATAAAATATAAAATATTAATGTCATATATTATATAAAATATTAATGTTATATATTAAAATATTACGGGGGATGTTTAAGGATGTTTAAAAGAACGTTTAATATCTGTACTGTAGTTGTTTCCCCAATGTATTGTTGTCTATATATCCATGTTTTATTTGTTTCACTTTTTTTGTGATACATATCACTACTATTATCTTCATCATTTCACAAACATATGTATCCATTAATTTCATATATATATATATATGCACAGCCACCCTTGTGCACAAACACAATACACACATATGCTTATACATTCACATGTTTTTGTTTTGTGTGTTTTACCAATAGTTGGGTTGTCTGATGTTTATTTCATGTCTTTATTATGTTTTGTATATTATTTTGTATTTTTCCATAATATTGTGAAATTTTAATACTATTCAGGTGGAGGCTTGCCTCTCTCTGCACTGTATATTATGTTGTCTTTGTTTATTTGTGTGTATTTTAAATTGTGCGAAAAAATAAACTGCTGCTAAGTTTGACACTTTCTTATAGCTGCCATAAAGAAGCTGTTTTAAATGACATTAAACATTATGAATCTAAATATTAACAGCAATATTAACATGACACTGTGTATTACTAGACAGAATCTCATGAAAAACAGCACATGATTTCTGTCATTTCTTGCTTATAGCATGATTATGTCAATGTTATGTAGCAAGGTTCAACTTAAGTGATACTTTCTGATCTTTCCAGACCAAATCTGACATCAGCCTGTTGGATTAAAAACCAGTTCCAGCCTAAAACTAATCTTTAGTTTTTATTGATAATGTTGGTGTTGAAGTATCCAACAATCACACATATATTCAAATATTCAAAAGACCACCCTTCATTTATTTAATTTCCAGTTTAAACAGCCATTAACTACAAGTTAAGTAGGACTCTTAACTATTGTGCCAACAACATACAGATTTTATCTTTGAGAAAGGAAATAAGCTAAAACATACATTTGAAGCAGAAAATGCAACAAACATCTAAGACTGAACTTTGAAGGGGTGGAAAAATATCCCTGCAGATTTCTCTAAAAAAACTGAAAGTGAGACTCCTGAAAAGAGTGGAAGCTGTAATAAATGTATATAGTGGAGACATTAAGTGCTGAAAAAAATTTATATTATATTTAGTTGTTGGGCCTTCTGTGTAATTGCATGTTATTTTTTTCTGATACTGAAAATTAGTCATTTTTTCTTAATGGCCTTTTTAACTAGAAACAGAAAGATTAAGGATGCTCTTTGACTTTTGTACAGTACTGTATCGCAGAGAGCTGTTTTTGTACAGGGTTTCTGTTGATGTGCCTCACTGTGGTTCACCAGCGCAGTAATACACAGCTGTGTCTCCAGTCTGCAGATTCTGCCCTCTTAAGGTCACTGTGCTGCTGGACGTGTCTCTGGAAACTTCAAACCTGCTTTTCAGTTTATTACTGTAGTAAGTGTTACCATCTCCACATATCTCTCCAATCCACTCCAGAGCTTTTCCTGCAGGCTGCCGTATCCAGTCTGTACAGTAGCTGCTATCAGTCACTGAATATCCAGAAACTTTACAGGTCAGCGACATTGACTGACCTGGTGTTACAACCGTGGGTCCAGACTGGGTCAGCTCAACACTGTGAATATTATCATTATATAGGGGCAAACCATAAATACCCATAATGTGTTTTTCCCAAAATGTGTTTGACTGCAAATTAAAAGCACTCACAGGTCACAGTGGTCAGCAACAGCAGTAGAGATGTAGAAAACATGGTGCGTGTTGAAGCTAAACAAGTGAAATCTGTTGGTCTTCATCTCCACCTGGTTAAATATGTAGAAGAAGACAGAACATTTGCATAGAGCCTTGCTTATCTCAGTGTAGATATGAATGTGAGCTCTCAAAGCCAGATTTACCTCTAGAAAATATTGTATTACAGGCTTTGTTTTATAGTCCTGTGAGTTTTAGGTATTAATCAGGCAATATGAGGTACAAACTCCAAAGTAATTATTTTAATACTTTATTCCTCATTCCCTTTATTATTCATCCATTATTAGATTGTACTAAAACTGCAGACCATCAGCTCATCCACAGCATAGTCTGGCATAAACTATGTGTTTTCTGTATAACTATGGAAAGTGATTTTAGTATGATAGCATGTATAGTCTAAAAGAAAGGGGACCAGTTATAGAACCCTGAGGTACACCATACTGAATTTCATTTACTGAAACTCCTTTCTCTAATGTTGTGCTCAAGAAATTCGAATTGGAAATTGTGAAGTCATAAGATGTTGTTGGGGGGATGTTTAACAAAAGTCTTATTAAAGACATGAAAGATGTATTTTTTTAAACATTGTAATATATTTTTATATATATGGCTCACATGTTTGTGTCACTGAGTAGCACATTGCACAGTAATACAGAGCTGAGTCCTGTGCAGTCAAGCCAGTCAGCTTCAGATACACCATGTTTTGGGAGTTTTCTCTGGTAATTTCAATACGTCCCTCAACAGATTTGGCATAAACAGTTTTACTGGCATCATGCCAGATAACCCCAATCCATTCCAGCGGTTTTCCAGCCTCTTGTCTAACCCAGTGCATGCCATGACCTCCAAAGGTAAATCCAGATCCTCTACAGGAGAGACTCAGAGTTTCTACAGGTTTTTTTCAGCACAGAATCAGAAGGAATGGACTCAAGTGTTTGGCATTTTACACCTGTCAGAAAAAAGAATAATTACAGCAAGCTTTTCTACAGAACTGTTACAGGCTGTTATTATTTTTACAGGTTAGAAAACTCACTGCTGAAGCTGAGTAGTATCAGTAATAAGGAGAGTGTGTTCTTCATGGTGAGTGTTGATGAGACTCTACTGCTCCACTCAGCTCAGCAGCACATAAGTACTGGATGGAGCCACAACACACTGGATTTGCATCATGATGTCATGGCCGTTGGGTTTATCTATGAGAAACACTCATCAGACTCATGCTGCAAGACTAACCGTAAGAATGATATGAAGTTCTTGTTTTCCTGCTCTTTAAAGCTTAAACAAATTCTTTGTGCTTTGTGTTTTAGTAAATGCACGTTCTACTAAACTAGACTGTTCACTCATGCTTGGTCTTTGGGTGTTTTTCCTGGTCAAAGTGGCAAGGTTTTTTCGGCCATCTCCACAGTGTGTAGAACCACACAGCTGAAAATCTCAGATGCCAAACTGCAAAAAAACAAAACCTTAGCAGGTTAAATGATCACATATCAAAACAATAATATCTTATTTATCTGATAAAATTACTTGTCTTACAAAGCAGTGGGTTTAAGATTACTTTGTTTATTTAAGAACAGTTACCTTTATCAGTCTCACTTAGAACATTTTAACTAATTCTAATTTATTTATGATACAAAACAAGCTCAGAGTCGCTCATGAGGCCATTGTGATCGTTGTGCCAGTGGATATTAAATCAGGCCGTTTTCATGTTTATTGCAGAAGCCTCATCTTAAATTGTCTTGGAAATTTTAAGATGTTATTTGATGTTGTTTGAAAGCCTTTGTAGTCCTGAATTTAAGGATTTGTGTACATCTTGTTAACTTTGTAGTACTGAATTTAGGAGTTTAAATTTAAGTTAAGCTTATTAACTTTTATTCCCAGAATTCTTTGGAGCTTGTGATTACACTGCAAAAAATACAAAGAACAACTAGAAAAAATACATACATTGAAATTGAGAGGTAAATGCAGATATTAAGCAAGAAATAACATAACATTTCTAATGGGTTAAGCAAAATTTACTTAGGAAGATTTCTTGAAGTAAGAAGTAAAATCTATCTCTTCTTATGAGCCCTTAATATTTTAAAACTAGTAAAAAATTATGCAAATACAGTATTGGATAAAATTCTGCTGAAAGCAAATTGAGGCCTGGCTTGTTGTGGTTAGTATAGCATAGTGGGTAAAACTCCAGTCCACCATGTAGTAGGGATCAATTCAAAAAACAAGCCATGCTACAAAATAAGAGTCTTTGGGCAAGACTCCTAATGCTACATTCGCCTCAATCATAGCTTAATCTGAGGATGAAATGTAACATTTTCAGTCCCATATTACTAGCAATGTAGTCTTTCCAAGAAAGTTGAATGAAATAAATACATTATACTAATACACTAGTACAGAACCTGGCTTTTGAATGCTGATAACAGCGTGGATGGTCTTTTTCTCCTTTGTCCTGGAGAACACAATGTCCATTATTTTCTATAAACTTAATCTTAAAAGTTTTTCTCCTCCAATGACAATTCATTTTCCTACCTTTCAGCCCAGAGAAGTCAGTGGTGTTTCTGGAGGTTGTTATATATGGCTTTCACTGTGTACAGTCTTAACTTGCATTTGTGGATGCAGCGATGAACAGTGTTTATTAATAATGGTTTTTCAAAGTATTCCCGAGCCCATGTAGTAATATTCATCATAGAAGCATGGGGGATTGTTAATGCAGTGACATCTGAGACTGAAGGTCAAGAGCATTCAGTTCTGATAAGGGGGAAATACTTAAAATCCTTGCAGTCGCTCATTGAGGAACATTGTTCTTAAACTTTTGGATTTTTCACTGAATAACTTTTTTGGAAATGAGGTTTGTATTCAGAAAGTCTCCTTGAGGAGTTTAAAATAAGTTCCAGGACTGAACTGATGGTCATAGTTTTAAAATAACCTCAAGATTTATTTGTGCATTGTGTCCAAAAACAAATCACAGAAGTATTTTTTCTTCATCTGCCCACAGTGGTGGTAAAATAGCCCTGGTGTTTTTGTTCATGCCTGCAAACTCTTACAGTGGTGATCTGTATACAGCAGGAGTTTTTGTACAGGGTTTCTGGTGATGTGCCTCACTGTGTGCCGCTCACGAGCGCAGTAATACACAGCTGTGTCTCCAGTCTGCAGGTTCTGTCCTCTTAAGGTCACTGTGTTGCTGGACGTGTCTCTAGCAATTTCAAACCTGCTGTACAGCTCATCACTGTAGGAAGTGTAACCATTTGCACATATAACTCCAATCCACTCCAGAGCTTTTCCTGCAGGCTGCCGTATCCAGCCTGTACAGTAGTTGCCATCAGTCAGAGAATATCCAGAAACTTTACAGGTCAGTGACATTGACTGACCTGGTGTTACAACCGTGGGTCCAGACTGGGTCAGCTCAACACTGTGAACACCTAGTAGAGAATATCATCATTATGAAGGGGAAAACCATGAATACCCAGAATATGTTTGACTGCAAATTAAAAGCACTCACAGGTCACAGTGGTCAGCAGCAGCAGTAGAGATGTAGAGAACATGGTGCGTGTTGAAGCTGAGCGAGTGAAAGCTGTTAGTCTTCATCTCCACCTGGTTAAATATGTAGAAGAAGACAGAACATTTGCATAGAGCCTTGCTTATCTCAGTGTAGATATGAATGTGAGCTCTCAAAGCCAGATTTACCTCTAGAAAATATTGTATTACAGGCTTCGTTTTATAGTCCTGTGAGTTTTAGGTATTAATCAGGCAATATGAGGTACAAACTCCAAAGTAATTATTTTAATACTTTATTCCTCATTCCCTTTATTATTCATCCATTATTAGATTGTACTAAAACTGCAGACCATCAGCTCATCCACAGCATAGTCTGACATAAACTACTTGTGATTTGTAAAACTATGGAAAGTGATTTTAGTATGATAGCATGTACAATCTTAAAAAAGGGGACCAGTTATGGAACTCTGAGGTACACCATACTGAATTTCATATCTTTTATCACATATTATCACCTAAACTAATAAAAAAAATGTGTGTCAAACCTGTTCAAGGTTTGTTGTCTAAAGAAAGCCCTTAAATCAAAAATAAAAAGTTGTACTACATACACATTATTCTTATAAGAGAATTTAGTCTCAGATCATTTCCTGCATTTACCAAAACTGTTACTGACTTCTTCTAAAATTAAACTGAAACTTTTCATAATTATTATTTTCATTTAGAAAGTTATTACACTGTTTGGAAACTGCTTTCTCTGAAATTGTAGTCAAGAAATGCAAATTGGAAATTGTGAAGTTACTTGTCACTGTAAGACAATGATATGAAGTTCTTGTTTTCCTGCTCTTTAAAGCTTTAACATTTTTTTGGTCTGTTTGAGCTTTGAGCTCTGTGTTTTAGTAAATGCACGTTCCACTAAACTAGACCATTCACTCATGCTTGGTCTTTGGGTGTTTTTCTTGGTCTAAACAGCAAGGCTCATTCGGCCGTCTCCACAGTGTGTAGAACCACACAGCTAAAAATGTCAAATGTTAAACTGCAAAAAACAAAACCTTAGCAGGTAAAATGATCACATATCAAGACAATAATCTTATTTATCTGAAAAAAATTACTTGTCTTACAAAACAGTGGGTTTAAGATTACTTTGTTTAAGAATAATTACCTTTGTCAGTCTCACTTAGAAAACAAAACAAGCTCAGAGCCTTTGGGCAAGACTCCTAATGCATTCACCTCAATCATAGCTTAATCTGAGGATGAAATGTAACATTATGAGCCCCACATTGTAGTCTTTCCAAGAAAGTTAGATGAAATAAATACGTCATACTGAGTCCCTACATCTAATTATTGTTCATTAAAATAGAATCTTTGATGCTTATATTACATTTAATACTTTCACAGATGTGCAACCTACCCATGCTATAGGCACTAATATACCCCTAATACTAATACACTAGTACAGACCCTGGCTTTTGAATGCTGGTAACAATCTGGATGGTCTTTTTCTCCTTTGTCCTGGAGAATACAATGTCCATTATTTCTATAAACTTAATCTTAAATGTATACTCCTCAAATGACAATGCATGTTTCCACTGTGCATCTATCCATTTCAGCCCAGAGAAGTCGGTGGCGTTTCTGGAGGTTGTTATATATGGCTTTCACTGTGCACAGTACAGTCTTAACTTGCATTTGTGGATGCAGCAATGAAGTCTTTATGCTTTACCAAAATATTCATCAATACTCATACATATTAGATCGTTAAAGCAATATCATCTGAGAGCATTCAGATGCGATAAGGGGGAAATTCTTAAAATCCTTGCAATCGCTGAATGAGGAACATTGTTCTTAAACTTTTGGATTTTTCACTTCAACTTTTTTGGAAATGAGGTTTGTATTCAGAAAGTCTCCTTGAGGAGTTGAAATAAGTTCCAGGACTGAACTGATGGTCATAGTTTTAAAATGACCACAGGATTTATTTGTGCATTGTGTCCAGAAACAAATCACAGAAGTATTTTTTCTTCATCTGTCCACAGTGGCATTAAAATAGCCCTGGTGTTTTTGTTCATGCCTGCAAACTCTTACAGTGGTGATTTGTACACAGCAGGAGTTTTTGTACAGGGTTTCTGGTGATGTGCCTCACTGTGTGCCGCTCACGAGCGCAGTAATACACAGCTGTGTCTCCAGTCTGCATATTCCACCCTCTTAAAGTCACTGACCTGCTGGATGAATGTCTGGTAATCTGAAATCTGCTTTTCAGTTTGTTACTGTAATAAGTGGCACCATCTCCATTTATCTCTCCAATCCACTCCAGAGCTTTTCCTGCAGGCTGCCGTATCCAGTGTGTCCAGTTCCTGCTATCAGTTAGTGAATACCCAAAAACTTTACAGGTCAGTGACACCGACTGACCAGGTTTTATGACCATGGATCCAGGCTGGGTCAGCTCAATACAGCGAACACCTGTTGAACACACTGCATGTGTTATTTTTGGAAGATGAATTCCAAACAGATAAAGTAAGATTTTCTCAGCTCTGGTCCTGGAGTATTCCTGGAGTGGAGGGGTACTCCATGACCAGGGATTGGAATCTGTGAAATTCTAATCTAATCTGATAGGTACTTACAGCTCACAGCAGCCAGCAGCAGCAGCAGTAGAGATGTGGAGACCATGGTGAATGAGTGGAAGCTGCTGGTCTTCACCTCTACTTAAATATGTAGAATATGGCAGAATATTTGTATAGAGGAGTTTCTATTGTATCACTATTGAGGAAACAATATGGCAGTTTACTTTAGTTATTCAGTCTAGTTCAAGGTTTAGGGGAATTCCGCTGATAGGAACCAGATGGCCGTATTGTTTAATGACTCTAAAAGCTCCCTCACAGACTGTTATTACATAAAATTATCATTAATATGGGTAGCCTGATTCCTGAAACATTGGTTTACAATAGTCTTGTGATAAGATTTTGGCTTAAAACTTATTTTTAAAATCCACTCATAGTAGCAGTGCGTGCAGGACATTGCATGGCAAAATAGTCCTGAGAAAAAACATATTTACCAATATTTCACCATAATGACCATTACATATTAACACCTAGATGACACCTCTACGTCAACTCTTTGGGCAGTTTGGATAGTAAATAAAATGGGTATATTTGACATTGTATCGTTTGGTTCCTATCACAACTACTGTAAAGAAAACTGAGTCAGTAAGTGTCAGACCACTCGGAATGACTTTTGGCATCTTAGCTGTAATAATTAGTAGAATTCCCATTTTCCATTTCAGTGGAAGACACGGAATGATCCTCTTAATTTAACTCTTAATTGTACACGCTGCATACATTTTAAAGGACACTTTGGGCTTGTGAAGAACTGAAACAGAAGAAGCCAATAACAAAGTATCCTTTACAAGATTAATTTATCTTATTAAATACATGTATATTAATTACATTGTGTAGGTGTACATTTACGTTTACGGCATTTATGTCTATAGTGGCCTCAGCTTCACCACAGAGGAGGTCAGTAGCATTTTCCACACTGATGTTTTTAGTGAAATAAAGTGTGTAACTGTCACAGGATGCAGCTGCAGTAGAGGAAGAGTGCTGGTCAGTGAATGCAAACTTTTTGAGGAAACATCTCCCTCTGCTGTTCTTTTGAAGCCCACAACACGCTGACCCGCTATTCCTATTCAAACACCAACACTGTAATATCGGCCTTCATAATCTCCATGAATGAAAGTGAATCAGCATAAATGAGGGGAGAACATTCTAGAAAAAAGCTTGTAGAACACAGACCCAGTGTTCTCCAACAAAAGAACAGCTGACTGCTGGAGTCTGAACTGAACTTATCTTTAAACTAAAGTGGTCAGAAGCAAAACTAAGAGGACCATAACAACTTTCTGGAAGACTATATGAATATATGAATAACCGATGAAGAGATTTGATGAGTGTCTTGGTGGAGAGATTGATGACCTTCTCTTTTACTAATAAACTGTGTGGGGTTGGTTTGATAAACACACACACACACACACACACACACACACACGCTGTTGGCGGAAGAAAAACTTGTATCTCCATTTTTGATGTTTTTCAGTTTTTGACATAATTTGACAGTACCCGTGGTCCTATATATTGTGTGTGTCTGGTTCCATTGACTTACATTAAAAGTAAAGTAGGTTTTTTCCTTTTCCTGTAAAGTTGTCATTTTGGAGATACAAGGTTTTCTTATGACAACAGCAATATATATATATATATATATATATATATATATATATATATATACATATATACAGTTTGGACACACAGTGACATAAGTGACACGTAGTATATAAAGTTGTGGTTTGAACTCAGCCTGTATTGTTTAATGTTCAATACGCAAACAATGTATTTACTTCACATTTAAAGGGAATTGCACTGATTTTTCTTTTCTTTTTCTTCATCAAGTTCCTCATGGTTGATTGATTAACTCCTTACATGGCCATTACACACTGCCATAATCTAAAAATAGCTCCACTAGTTTGCACTGAAGTCCCTGTAGTCTCAGCGTGTAATAAGCCTGGGATTTTAAGGGATTAAGATGTAAACCAAGACATTCAGAGTGTGAAGAGAAACTTACCAAGTCAGAATCATTTACAGCGGTTGTGACTTGAACCAAACATCCAAACCATTTAATGCCTTTAAAAGCTCCATCAGAGGAAGACACTACACAAATAGTGAAATGGTTACAAATGTGGTTTATAATATTTATTTATAATATATAATATAATGTTATATAGCCTTGCACTCGCGA